CCAAAAATGAATGGGTCTAAGATTAAGAAAAGGCAATGGTGAGATGAATTATATTACAGGGATCCAGGCAGAACAATAACAGATCAGAGTCCAGATCAAATGAGATGTTGGATGGTGGGAAAATACATCCTGGGTATGATTATTTAACTCGGGGAGGTGAAAATGGATAAGACTGGTTTGAACAAAGGATGCTATTGACAAACTTGGAACTTATCGACTTTATATCTCTCACTATGAGAGACCAGGCAAGAAAAATATCTAGAGGAAGATGTTAGATAAACAAAAGTGTGGATCAGAAAGCGAAGGGAAAGTACTGTAAAAGAAAAAAAAGAAAAAGAACTCCACTGCAGCAAACGATGCAGCCCTGAGCCTGTCAGAGAAGGAAACTTTCCTAAAATGAGCAGGAGTACAGTAGAGGCAAATCCTACAGACTGTAGCAGAAAAAGACAGAATCATTAACTCAGGACCAGGAGCATTCAAAAACAGGAAAACCATGTCTTCAGGAGGAAACGGCAGTAGTATGGGTCCTCACTGGGCACCTATGAAAAGGAGCCTCAACAACATGAACGGCTAATGCAATTCAGAAATTCACTGAAAGCTATTCTCCCATTGAAACTGATGTGGGGAAGAAGGGAAAGCTGAGTCCGTGAAGTATGTTTCTTCGGCTTAAATAATTCTCTCACCACAGGCTGTGACAGCAGCCACTGTGACCCAGGATTGAAAACAGTGCCCCAGGACGTGGCGATGCTGTGCCACACAAGACAGGGCCCATCGCCAGTTCAGCACGGGGTCTGGAAACATGGCACTCAGAGGGGAAAGGACATTAAGATGTTTAGGACACTTTACAGAAGGAAAAAACAGCACCTCAAACAAACATTTGTGACCCAGCCTGCCACCAATGTAAATTTCCAAAGTCGCAAGGATGCAACGTTCTCAGTGCCCTCTTTAAGAATAAGAATAATAACAACATTAGCAGCAATAATAACGATGTTATAATGCTTACCAAGTCCCTGGCACTTGTTGTAAGAACTTCACATAGAATTCATTAAGATAAGTACTATAATCTCTAATTTTCAGATGAGAACACTGACTCTCAGAGAAACTAATCTGTCCAAGGTCAGACAATAAGTGGCACAACTGGAATATGAACTCTGGCTCGAAAGTCAGAGCACTTAACCAACACTTTGGGCAGCCTCTTAGAGAGAGGAGACAGTGTGCCCTGGTCAGTTTCCCCCTCAAGACGTTATCAATACATAGTACTATAATTAATGCCTTGGTGGGAGATTGCTTCCCAGTCACAGGTCATAGGCCCTGCTCAACAGCATAAATCAAGTAGCTTCTTGAAAAGACTGACATAAAGAATGTTTTCTCTTCTTGGCCTTCCTTCCCTTAGTCTCTACTATGGTCTTTGTCAATAGTGCCAGGGGTCTGGATCATGCCAAATACAGGATTTTGGAAACATCATTTTGCTAGGAATGGCCACATTAGAAACTGAGGATTGCTGTTCTGAATGTGCTGGGTGTGGTTCTGATGTTGTGATTATCTTTCAGTTCAGTTGGAAGTAGGACACACGATAAAGCTGGTGTAGACCCAACTCAACTTCTGAGGTCCCAAGGGATGACACCCACAGCAGGAGCCCAGAGAGTAGCAACTGGAGAAATTCCCGCTCAAACCAGGCATCTAGAAACCATCTGGCTGACACTGGGAAGAATAAAAAGTAGACAGGAACTTCATTTCTTTGAATTTTAACTCTACGGGGTCTGAACTTTTATTGGATTTTAACTTACAAAGGTAAGATTATTTGATTTTTTTCACTCACTTCTGTGTAGACTTTTAAAATTTATATTTTAATTTCTTGGAAAATTTTATTCTTGGAATTTAATTTCTTCACAAAAAAATTGATAATGGGCAAGAGTTAACACTCAAATTCAGGGTATCTCTATATTATTGAAATTTTGTGATTGAAACACATTAATCCTGTCATTTGATCTCACTGCAGGATCTGAAGAAGTTGTCAGAGAATATATAGCTATTTTGGATATTGTTGCTGGGCATATTTGGGGGTGGGAAACGGAATAAGAAATGAATGTTCAGTGTTTAATAGCATGACTTTGGAGCCAATTTAATTACTGTGCTATTCTAACTCAGTATATTCTAGGGTAAATTTCATATTGCCCACCATGATCTAGAAGGATCCACAAAGGAGCAGGGTTTGGTTATTGGAATAGCAGCCTCTTAAAGTTCACCATACCTAATAATTAAGCCAAAGTTAAGAGAACAAAACTTGGGGTGATATAAGGGGTAAGGAGAATGTCATTACACAACTCCATCTAAATCTGACATTAGCTACATGTGTTCTGCCGTGGTCACTTGCTGCAATAACACCAGTTAGCTCATACATGATTGCTAAATGGGGGAATGATGTCAGTACTAAGTGAAAATTTGGTTGGTGAATATGCGCTTTTCTTTGGCAAAGGAGGCCAGGAGAGTAGGAGTAGAATTTTATACTTTAGCAGGAAAGAAAGAAAGACCTTCGTTTGAATGCAGCTCCGGGGATCCCTTCCTGGAAAGGTGCGCTCCTGGCCCTGCATGACTCTGTGGGAGTTTGGCTTCCTCTGTGACTTCCTTAAGGGAAGCCCCACTGGTTCAAACCTCCAAGTAGATTTCCATCTGCCTAGTCTCACACTCGAGTATTGCTCCTGTGCGGCTTTAATATCCTCTGAAGCAGCACTCTGTTTAAACCCAGGCTGTTTACATTACCTCCTAAGTTAATAATTATTATTTTTAGTTAGTATTCTGGTTTTAAAGATGCACAGGTTTTTTGTTTGTTGTTTTATTTTAATATATTTTTTATTGATTTCAGAGAGGAAGGAAGAGGGAGAGATAGAAACATCAATGATGAGAGAGAATCATTGATTGGCTGCCTCCTGCATGCCCCCCACTGGGGATCGAGCCTGAAACCTGGGCATGTGCCCTTGACTGGAATCAAACCAGGGACCTTTCAGTCCGTAGGCCAACGCTCTATCCACTGAGCCAAACCAGCTAGGGCAAAGATGCACAAGTTTTGAATAGTCTTCCTCAACTCCATTTTTCCCATAACCCTATTATTTTGGTGGAAGTCTTCATGCATATATTATGTCTCAGTAGAAATGCTGTACCAGCATGCTGACCATATATAGTAATATGGCATCTTTACTAATGATAGCTGTCTTCTACTATAGAAAGAATAGATCTATAAAGAAGCCACAGCCAAAGAACTTTTCCACATGTAACAAAATAAATTTCTTTGTTAAAATCTTCTATTTAGAAACCTAAAAGCACAAGCAATTTTCAAAACCCATGGAGTGTTAAAGGTTTTACTAGACTTGATAGAATGAAGTAGTTTAATATCATATCGACTGTGCTCATTTCTCATAGTATATGAGGAAACTTGCAAGTATATCTAATTCCAAAAAAGAAGCAACAGATAGAAAATTTTTTATGTGTATTCGTTACTTTTAGTCCTTGATACAATTACACTTCTAATCTATGCTTATAAATAAAAATTAATTGCTATGATCTTAATATTGCACATTATTAAATGACTTTTTCTAATCCAAAACAAAGCAGGCAAAAAATAAAAATAAAAAAGGTTATACATCAAATCAGAGTATTAGCATTTGCTTATTTAAATGAAGAGATAACTTTCATCTAACACTTGACCTTTCCCAAGTTGAAGTTCAGAAAACCATCAAACATAAAAGTTTAGGGAACTCAATCATTTGATGCACAAAATCATACTAACAAACAAAGAAGAAAGAAATGCAAAAATCTAATGTTAAGTGACTAGGGTGCTACAGACTGGAAGTTCCTCCGAAAGGATTAGCTTCTTTAAGTATTTTAAGTCCAGTGAATTTGTTATGCTTCCACATGTTAGTAGCTGCATAGGCTAATTTCAGCTGGCATAAGCTTTTATAAGTATGCAAAAGCACAAGGCAAGGCACGCATTAAAATGTGATAATATCACACTTCTGGGACACGGGAGCATGAGGCATGAATCCCAGTGCCTCTGGCATCCATGAAGTATCATGCCTCAGAGTCAGAGATTTTTCTGTTTGGGTAAGTAATTTTATTATACCACATTTGGAGAGGGGGAAAAAATCAACTTTCTAAATATAAATCTTTCATCTTAACCAGGGTTCTTAGAGTTTCAATTCTAGCAATGAACTCAAATCTAAAATTTTGGATGAGTTGGTAATAATTCAAACTAGATAGAGTCTTAACAAAATTATTTATTTATTTATTTATTTATTTAATCAATGAAACTTTAAGAGTAATTATAAAATATGGTTGATCACAAAGAAAATTTTAGCCAGCGTGATGAAGGGAAGGGATAAAAATGCAAAAAACCCTCCAAAAATCCAAGAAATCAACTTTAATAATGATACTGCCCCACTCCTAAAAAAAAGAAAAAAGGTTTCCCTGTGTTACATAAGTCTGTGCTATAGAGTGAATGTTTGTGTCCCACACCCCATATATTAAAACTTCATCCCCAAAGAGATGGTATTTGGAAGTGAATAGGTCATGAGGCTGAAGCCTTTCTGAATGGATCCTTATACAAGAGACCCCAGAAATCACCCCTGCCCCTTCCACCACATAAAGACACAGTGAGAAGAATGAGTAAACGGCCCCTCAGCAGACGCTGAATCTACTGGGACCTTGGTTTTGGTACCGTTCTCCTTAACTGTGAGAAATAAATGTTTGTTGTTTAAGCTACTCAGTCTATGGTATTTTTATTATAGTAAGTAGCCCTAATGAACTAAAACATGCCAAAATAAAAGATTCCCAAAATCTTAATACCCTTTCATGATTTCCCTTTGTACAAGAAAGATATATTATTCATGTTATACTTAAACTGTTTTATTACATCTGTTTTCCTTTTAAATGTATAAAGTAAAAACAAATTATATAAATGTCTTTCATAACATTAGCATCTAGTTTACAAAATCTTTGCCACTTACCTTTTGAAATATCTTTAATTTTTCTGCCATACAAATCAAAAAGATGTCTGGCTGGTGAATTTAGGTTCATCCTCATTGTGCAAGTATCTAAAACCTACACAGGAAAAAGAAAACTATAAATAATTTATCACAGTGAACTCTGGCTAAATTAAAAACACATTTAGAGTCCTTGCTATACTCATGGCGATTAACAATTATATCATAAAATGAAATTTAATGATTTATAAAATGTTTCCAACATGAAATCAAAAGGGAATTAAAACTGTATTTTAAATATTAATATAAATATACAACACAAATATTAATATAAAAAAAGAGAAAGGAGATGCAACCAGTATTAAAAAGTTGTTACATACTATTTAATAAATGAAAAAAATCTGGGGGATTTTCTATTATTCTTACTATTTTCTATATTTTCCATTTATTTGACAAGAACAAAATATTACTTTTTAAATTAGGTTTTAAGGTACTCTCTTTAGTGTAAATTCTTTCCAAGTGTCCTAAAATAAATTACAAATATAGCTTGATCACAGTTCGCCTTGTAATTTGTGTTGTTCAGGTACTAAAAAATGGAATTAATAAACCACAGTTCAAGGTTTCCTATGAGCCTGGGTCTCAAGGACCTCACTTTTCATAGTCTCTAATTTGATCAAGCTTTTCCCTTAATATTTTAATGTCTCCATGTGGCCCTTGTAAAGGTGAGACAATCATCTTTCCAATAACAGGGAAGCAAAAGTTAAACAAGCAAAAGTTAGAAAGTTTTACTCATAAGCGAGAAAAATTAAAGTAACAGAGAGGGTGGAAAGCAAGTATCCGGTAACCTGGGGCAGGTTTCATTAGGATTTTGAGAGTGACTCCCGAAACATAAAACTCGCCCTATTCATTTAAAAGCACATAATATATTCCAAATCCGAATTGAAAGTACCTTGTCTTCCATTTTCACTATTCATTCCTATAACAAGCATGTCAAACGCAAAGGTTAACACGGGCCAAATAAACAAGGTTTATGTTTATGTGGGCCGCAAAAAAACAAAAGCTTCAACTTTCATAGAAACGTAGGTTTATTTCGATGGAGGCACGCTGAATACAAAGGGCTGAAATAAATGAGTAATCGTTAACATAAAATAATAGAACATTTTAATAAAAATTAATGTTTTTTCTTGAACATTAACTTACCAGACACTGAATAACTGCACAAATTAATAAGCGTAACGCAAATAAACCTATTTTTCTTGTTCTCCAAAAGCGAAATATTTCCTTTTGCGCACACCAACCAAGTCAGTCCAAGACTGATGACGTGGCAATCGGCTGCTAAAATATTCGCTGCTAGTATTAGTGGAGGGAAATGGTGCGCCTGCGCGTAAGGCGCGTAAGGGAAATGAATGCAACACGATGATAGTAATCAGTCATTAGCGGACGTTGTAGTTTGTTATTGATAATTACGTATAACAGGATATTGTAAAAATTAAGTTACGAAATTTTTATTAAAATGTTTCTTACATACCGTTATATTGGCTGGGCCACAAAAATATTCGTTTGGGCCACATGCAGCCCGCAGGCTGCGAGTTTGACATACTTATTCCTATATTATACTACTGGCTTTGCATAACCAAGAACTACTGAAGGACAATGTTCATTGTATGGTTGTATGGCAAAAAGAACATCTTCCCATTGCTGATACCACTCCCCTCCATTTCTGCCCACTTTAATTGCTACTTTAAAATTGAAGCCCGTAATCCTAGTTCTAGCCCAAACAAACTCATTTTCCTTGTGACAATGGGCATATTTAAACAGTTGAATGTGTAGATTGAGGCAAATTTGTACTTTCTTTTTAGTTTGGGGAACAACTTTTGAAGATTGTGACTGATCTGGTTTATCCAGTGGCTGCCTCAAGTGCTGTGTTGCATTCAAGTGGCAAATATTTAACTGACAAATTTAATTTGACAAATTGGCCTTTACTGAATTATATCAGATGTTCTCTAACCCTGCACGTGACTAGTAGTGTTCCCACACGCCACATACTCCCATGGGCATTCAATGGATTGTGTGTTTCTTGCACAATATCTGCAATCCAGAGTTTGGGGCAATTCTTCAGAAACTATGTACTGCTACTATTTGTTTGTTTTTTTTTCAAATTTACAGGAATTATCTCGCACCCTTTAATTTACGAAGGAAATATTCACAAATCAGTGCTCCACCTGGATCTACAATTAGTCCCATAGGCCCTAAACAGATGCAGCCTCTTCCTTAGGTTCCCCACATTCCTGACCTTTCCAATATTTGTGTTTAGTTCGCAATCTCTTAATTTTATAAATCTATTATTTAAAAGTGCAACAAAACCCTTTCGTACAAATCACATTCCCTTGTTACTAGTGAAGGTTCAGATATCTAAATATTCTCCAAAGTTATCATTTACCAGTTAAACTAAGTAAAATATGAGCTATTTAAAGATTGTCCAATTTGCTTTATTTAAAATCACAATGATTTAAAAATTATTTTTAAAAATCAGTAAGTAAAATCACATGGCTTTCTAACCCAAAGACTCCTCTTTTCACTGTGCTTAAAAATGCCAGTAAAAATGTTTGTGCAAGCCCTAACTGGTTAGGCTCAGTGGAGAGTGTTGGCCTGCGGACTGAGAGGTCCCAGGTTCCATTCCAGTCAAGGGCATGTACCTTAGTTGCAGGCACATCCCCAGTAGGGGGTATGCAGGAGGCAGCTGATTGATGTTTCTAACTCTCTATCCCTCTCCCTTCCTCTGTGCAAAAAATCAATAAAGTATATATTTTTAAAAAATATTTGTGCAAGCCAAGTTTTAAGAGTTACATGAGTTTGAAAATTGGCATTAGAAATCAGATAGTAGAAATTAATAATGCACCAGCCACCAGGTCATTCTCTCCCACTTTCAGAATGTAAGATCCTTGCAGAATTTAAACAATGTCAAACTTCAATAGTCGTTTTCTCACAGTAAATTATTAGTGGTATGAATTAATATCAATATAAATTCCTGTCAAACGCCCTGGAATGAAACCTCTACTTGCAAGGTTGTTCTTATATTTAACAATTGAAAAAGAGTTAATAATGCCATCTTGCTGTAATATTAAGGTTAATTAAAATAGCATTTCCAGGCCTCGCCGGCTTGGCTCAGTGGATAGAGCCTCGACCTGTGGACTGAAGGGTCGCAGGTGTGATTCTTGTCAAGGGTATATGCCCGGGTTACGGGCTCCATCCCTGGGGGCATGCCCAAGGCAGCTGAACAATGATTCTCTCTCACCATGGATGTTTTTATCTCTCCCTCTCCTTTCCTCTCTGAAATCAATAAAAATATACTAAAAAATAAAATAAAATAGCATTTCCACTAATCTGTAACTGTTAAACTTGTTAAAATATTACTTTTACAAATTCACATTCTGTTAATTTCTTACAGTCTACGTTGTAGAGGGCCCTGCAGATACTGAAAGTTAAAATCATCATGCTGTAAAACCAGGCTCTTCTTGACAAGCCCCTGGGAAGAGATTTTCCACAGACTCCCTTTAGTTTAATCTACCTGATTATAGTTCTGGGAGTTATCCTCTCCTTCCATTCCTAACTAAAAACACATTTCTCACTGTTCTTTGGTGGAGGAGAGGGGAGTTAGGGAGAGGCGGAGAGGAGCGGCGAAGCAAAAATCTCTAACCTGTCCAACAAGGCTTCAGCTTTGTACATAGTTCAACTTAATGTACAGGAAATATAACAGTATTCACTATATAAACCCAAGAAGCAAACCACTGAATTAGGAACCTATAGAAGAATTTTAGAACTTTAGCAAGCTGAAAACTGAAAGTGAATAGATAATTATGAAATTAACTCATTGGATTACTAAAAATATTTCACCATTGGCAATTAATTATAGTTCTCCAGTAAAAGCTCACTATAATTTATCATCTATATTTTGAGAAAGGGAATCTGTTTTTACAATTTTTTTTTTTGCTAACAAAGACTGTCAAATACATTATGAATTTTCAAAGAATTAGAATGTAATAAAATGTACTTGGCATAACTTTCTGCTAAGACTAACATTTTAAAATGACTAACAATAGAAAATATGATCGTCATTTTAACCTGAAAATGCCAGGAGATTGGGCTGAATTTATATTTACCTTATTAAGTAGCTTAAAGGTACTTTTCTGGATAAATCCTGGAGATATATTTACTGGCCTGTTATTTATCTTAATCTCACAAAACTAGATGATAGAATGTACACCAAATCTAGTTACTTGCTCTTACTAGCAATGAACATGACTATGATTTGTAAAAGCAATTATTTCTTGTGAATGTGAAATGTAGGTGTTCTGGCATTTTATTATTAAAATGTGAATGAGAAGTAGATAACTAGAGGATATTGCCTAGATAATCTATTAATACACACTTCTTGGATATTTTATACTTACTTAACTGACCTCTTAAGAATAATTAAATAGCCCAGATTACTTTTACATTTTTCCAATTCTAATTTTGTTATTTTTGTTCACTTTTTAAATCTATTATTTTGATGTATAATTTACATGAAATAAACTGTATCTATTTTAAGTACACCATTCAATGCAGGTAGGAAAATCTATCTGTGTAACTACCTCTACAATCAAGACACAGAATATTTTCATTACTCTCCAATATTCCTCATACTCTTTCCCATCACAGTTCAGTACCCCTGCCCCCAGGCAACCACTGTTTGTCTGTCCTATAGTTTCATATAAATGGAATCATATAGCATGTAATATCCTACATCTGGCTTCTTTCAATTATACAATATTTGTTCCTTTTTATTGCTGCAGAGTATTCTTTTGTACGAATTTGTTTATCCATTCACTTTATTGATGGACATTTTTGGGCTGTTTCTAGTTTGGGACTATTATGAATAAAGCAACTCTAAATATTCACTCTGAATAGGAGTTGTGCATTGGCGTGTATTATTTCTCTTGGGTAATTACAACAGGTCCTAGAATAACATAATTTTGTTCAACATTATAACATTGATGAGATGCCCTAAGCACTTAATTATAGCTTCTATCAATTAGCCTATGCTAAAATTAGTTTCAGTGTATGTCGGTTTGCTAAAGTCACAGGAGCTATCAATGACATTAAGTGAAGACATACTATACCTAGCAAAGAGTTGCTAGAATGTGTGATAAGTGTATGTTTCTTTATAAGAAACTGTCACGCTGGTTTGTAAGGTGTCTGTATCATTTTGCATTCTTATCAGCTATATGTGAGACTTCTAGTAGCTCCAGATTTTCACTATTTACTATATTTACAATATCCATATTTACAATATTTAGTATTGCCGGTCTTTTTTAATTTTAGCCATTTTAATATATATGTAGTGGCAATTCAGTGTGGATTTAATTCTCATTCTTTGATAATTAATAATGTTGAGCATCTCTTTATGTGCTTATAAATTTATTGTCTAGATTTTCCTCTGGTTTAAAGGCATCTGAAAAAGTCTATTATTTATTTATACCTTGAAAGCCATACATGAGTAATTCCCTCAATACTATGTGGTTTTTCAATAATAACCAAAAAAAGGTCATTATAATGAAATATGCTTATATACAAATATTAAAGGGATTTTTTCTTCTAAGTCAGACTTGTTACACCTAGACTACTCCCTTCCTGCTAACTTGTAGACATTTTCCTCTTCCTGATTTCTCAAATCCATGCACTAGTTCTAATCTAGCAGTCAGTGATCTTATTTCCTGTAACCTGTTTTTACTCTGTCATACAATTTATTTTCTTTCTCTTAAACCATGGTCTTAAAAACATGAATTAGTAAGTTTGAAGTTTTTAGAACACCAGAAGAGTCCTCAAACTTTAGTTGGGCTAGAAATCATCTGGAGACATTTGTTGAAGTTCAAATTCTCAGGCCCCACACTCAGAGATTCTTAATTCAATAGGCTTGGAGTGGGGCCCGGCAGCCTGAATATTTAGCACAGAGTCCAGATTATTCTGGTGCAGGTGTTCTGTGGACCATATTTTCAGAAACACTGAAGAACTTTGCCTGCAAAAAGTATATGTTGCCTTCGGGTGACAAAAAAGGGAGTATTCTCTTCTCAAGTAGATTGAAATTATGTTTTACAAAGTAGGGTGTACAAGCCCATTGAGACTGGACAAAACAATCCATTGAGGTAGGAAGAGGATATTAGAATTATCTTAAAAAAACTGCTTTATTATATATATATAAAGAGCCAGAGTCTGTAACGTCCAAAGCAACCGAAGGCTCGACCGAACACCAGGCTGTGTGCGCAGCAGGCTTGGGTAGGAGGGGACTGGCGAGGGGACTGAACTGCTGACCTCTTGGAAGGAGAGAGAGGAGGGGCTGATCAGCAGCCGCCCCAGGCTTCTGATCAGCTCCGCCTCTCTGATTAGACCTGAAGATAGGCCCGGAGATGCTTACTGGCATAGAAACTGACCAATTGAAACCAAAACTGGGTGAACTACAAGGAGCCAATGCTGCCTAGGAGGCAAAGCTTTTGATGTTGACTGGCATAGAAACCGACCAATCAGAACCAAATATGGATGAACTGCGAAGGCAGAACCTAAGGTGGGGCCTGAGGAGGGGTTTTAGGGGCGACAGCTGTTTGATGTAAGGTGTAAGAAAGTGGTTCAATTTTTTAATGACTGGTTTGGCAGTATAGTGCATATGGCTGGCTATCAGTCCAGATATAGGGATTATGTATTTTGTCTGCCAAGAGCATATCCTTCTGCTGAAAAAGGCTCCCCTGCCCCATTTAAGCAATCCTATCCTAGTAATATAGATATAATCTATCTATACTAATAAAAGGGTAATATGCTAATTAGACTGGGTTGACCGGCCATCTTCCGGACGTCCAACTTCCTTCCAGACAAAGCGATGGTGGTGGAGGCCAAGGAAGAGGCAGTTAGGGAAGATCAGGCCAGCAGGGGAGGGAAGTTGGGGGCAACCAGGCCAGCAGGGTAGGGCAATTGGGGGCAACCAAGCCGGCAGGGAAGGGCAGTTGGGGGAGAGATCAGGCCAGCAGGGGAGGGCAGTTAGGGGTTATCAGACAGGCAGAGGCAGTTGGGGGCGATCAGGCAGGTAGGCAGGTGAGCGGTTAGGAGCCAGCAGTCCCAGATTGCGAGAGGAATGTCTGGCTGCTGGTTTAGACCCGATCCCACAGGAGAGGGTGCAGGCTGGGCTGAGGGAACCCCCCCATGCACAAATTTCATGCACCGGGCCACTAGTGTGTTGTCATAAAAGAGAAAATAATTTGTGATTCTCCTATGAGTATGCCACCTTGTTCCTATTATTGATTTGGTATTAAACCTATAAATAGGGCATTATCCTGTGATTATCAGCAAAGCTTTAAAAATTTAAATTTTTATTTATCAAATAATTAGCTACCCTTATTTTTCCCCTCCAAAAGGTTCTATTGACATTCAAGACCAACATTCTGTTGCCTTATCTCCTTTACTTCATTTTTAAAAGTGATAATTATAAAAATATTTACAAACTAGAGGCCCAGTACATGAATTCGTGCATGGATGGGGTCCCTCGAGGTGGCCTGTGGGGATTGGGCCTTGGGGCAACCAGCGGGGCGATCAGGGGCCCCCGCTCACACCCTCCTTGGCCTGGCACCACCAGCTCACCTACTCCACCATCACTCCGCGGTCCCGCTCTCATTGGGGCCCATCAGGGCCAGCAGTGCCTCCACTGCCACCCATTGCCAGTGCCACATTGCTGATGCCTGCCATGTTCTGTGCCACCCCCTGGTGGTCAGCGCATGTCTAACTCCCAGTTGGTCGAACTCCCACCCATGGGGACAATTTGCATATTTGCCTTTTATTATATAGGATACAGTTATTATTGAATCATTCCCTGTGTTTTATAAATTGAAACAACTTTTTAAATTCTACAGATTGTAAAAAGGAAAAGAAGAAGCTGAAGAATTTCCTTATCATCCAGTTTTAACTAAATTGCTCTCTATAGCCACAGAGCAAAATAGCAGTGACATTTTTATTTACACTCAACCTTTCATCTAAGAACATGTAATCTGTGACCATTACCCCAACTTTACCATGAAGGCATAGAATTACAGAGATTGAACTGAAGTCAAGAGGTTATCTATACGAGCTTCTATCTCCAAGAATGACTGCATTTTAACAATCCAAGAGATACGTCCATCTTCTCTATTTTTTAAAATCTCCAGGGAAGATGTTACAATCTGCCTTTGCAATTTGCTCTGGTGTGTAATATCCCTTGTTTTACTCATAATCCAAATCTGTGGATAAGAAAGAAATAAAACCTGGTTTCCCAGCTTCTCAGTAAAATGTTCTTACCCAATTGTGGTTATAACACAATCATAAAAATAAGTAGGTGAGTGAAAAAGACACTACTCACCTGTTTCAAGCAATAATTATTTTAAAAATAATTTGGAATAACATAAGGATTTACACCTATCTTGATTTCATAATAATTTTTTCCCATTAGTAAGAAAAATAATTTCTATTAGACGTGTATTTATTAGTCATAAATATAAAAGTGACAAATATTTATTGGGACCTGTCTGGGTGCCAGGCATTGTAGTCCATAAATAATATCACATTGAATCCTCATATCAAGTCTATGAAGTATTCATTATAATTATCCCATTTTTTAGATGAAGAAATTGAAGCTCAAGGAAGGTTAGTTGTCCAAGGTCTCATAGATAGTGAATAATGAAGAGAAGATTAAAACCTAGACAGTTTTATTATATTTCAATATCTAATATATATTTAATAATATTATTATTGTTATTAGTAAGCTGCTTTACGGTTAGTTGAAAATATCTGCAAAAAACATGTTTGGGTTTTTTTTTCAAATTTCCATTAGTTCCTCCATTTTTTTTGAATATAAAAGATGATCTGGAAGGTATGAGCACTTTCTGAAAAACATGCATTTATGTAATAAGTAATACTTTAAAATTTGTTTTTTAAAGTTTGCTTGATTGTAACAGGATTTGACTTAGGCCCATCAGATTTGCTTTTAAAAATGTATATGGATACTATAACTGAATCTTAGTTATTTTGTACTTTATTCTCTCGAGGACCAGGAGTGTTTCTAGGTCTTAATTCTATATTAAATGAAAAGGCGCAGATTTGAGTTTTGAAGCTAGGTTAGATTGGCTTCAATCTAAATATTCTATGAAATATTGTACTTAACTAGAATGTTTCAGCAAATGTAAACATAACTTTGACTAGGTAAATTACCAACTATGCTAGCCAAACAATTTCCTGAAATATTGTTTCTTTACCAAAGTAATTTATATTGTTAACACAATAAGCATACTTCTTGTTAAACAGCTGAATGTTTGCATGATATACAATGCCTTCTTACTATTTCATTTTTAGTTAACACTGATATTTACAAGGAAAAAACACATTTCAAACACCATAAAAACTTTAAAATTTAATTTATACTTGACACAAAATTACCTTTTTCATTGTTTCCTTTCCCACTATAATCTCATGTCCATCTTGCCCCATGCCATTCTTAAAGAACAGAATTCGGACTGAGGTCTTCCCAGTAAGTTTCTTCATTCTAGTAGAAAGAACAGGCTTGGTTTTTCGTCTCTTGACTTTAGTAGGAAGCATCAGCCCATTCATTGTCCAAGTTACTTTCTTCATTAACAACAGATGGTCTAGAAGAGAATTTTTTTTAAATCAATATTTGGCTTCAAAATTAAAAATGGACACATCATGATTCCCCTCCCCCTATTACCTATACCATATACACTGGCCAGTCTCCATTTAGATGCTGGTTTTTTGAAATGCTACCACCAGCTTCCCACTAACCGTGACATAAGCTGTAGCAAGCTGTCTGCTCTGATAGCCTGCATAAATCATCATTTCTGAAGGGAACAGATGTTCAGGGTATGAAAGAGTAATACCACAATTTAGTCCTAATTAAAATTCACCTTAGCATGCCTCTATCACTGATCAGATGCACTGGGCTGAAAGGGTCCAAGGTCCTTTGCTTACTATTCAACAACACGGGTCCTGAACTTTTGTATTCTTTAGGGTTGGGAAAACACAGTTTTCCTCTTTAATATGATTTATTATCCATGTTGCTTTAAAGGTGATGACCTCCAAACAGTAACTTTATATGTAATTCTTCACTTGTGACTAGAATGAAGGTGCCTTTTAGGACATTTTTGGTGAGAGATTCAAACTATTTCACTAAAAATGAAAACCAGTTTTGCATTAACAGTTTACTTTGACTTATACATTTTCAAAGATGTATGCAGAAATTTAAGTTTCAAAACTCCCACTAATATTAATGGGAGTGCAACTAAATTACTATGTATGGCTTTGAAAATATAAGAGTGAGAACAGTAGTACTGCATACTAAATTGTTGTCAGCATTCCTTTCTTTTCAAGAGGCTTCATTTCATAAATAAATAATTTTCACCTGAGTATTTTATTTGTGCAATTTATTTTAGATAATGTTTTATTTTCACATAAATACAAAGGTGCAATGATCCCTCTTTTATCTGATCTTTATATGTCCTAATGAGAGAAACAAAATATATTTGCATGTAACTGAATATAGCTGCATTTGTTCGCCCACATTCCCAATTAACACTTCTCTATTGTCATTCACCTTGCAAACAGCATGGCCTCTTCAACCTAGAAGCAGTATTTTACAGAAAATCTACTAGTATTGATATGAAATATGAGCAAGTCATTATAAATAATCTTCCAAGTCCCAGAATGGCTACATTAGATATTTAAAAAACAAAAACACTTTCTCTCTCTACCTCCTTCTTGATTTCTCTCTCAATATGTTTTTCTTTCTCTCATACACATACTCACACACACATACAGGCATACAGACATATCCTATAGGCAGAAATATGAGCAAACTTGCAGAATAAATTAAACTAAATTATAGATATGCTTAAGCCTTCAAGAAAACATATTTTTACCGAAAACTAATAGTATCTCTGAAAATAAAACTTAAAAATCTCTCACTGGGGAATAAAAGTTAATAAATTCTTGTAGTTTAATAGGAGCTTGCCCATAACCTGAATGCCTCCCAAATGCTTTGAACGGTGGAAAGGTTATGAGCCTTAACATTAGGTTTGAATCTCAGCTCTGTTACTTAGTGACCCTAGATGAGTTATCCCATCCTGCATCTCTGATTTCTCATCTACAGAGTATCTAGTGCAGCCGTGGGCAAACTACGGCCCGCGGCCGTTTGAAATGAATAAAACTAAAAAAAAAAAAAAAAAAAAAGACCGTACCCTTTTATGTAATGATGTTTAGTTTGAATTTATATTAGTTCACACAAACACTCCATCCATGCTTTTGTTCCGGCCCTCCGGTCCAGTTTAAGAACCCATTGTGGCCCTCGAGTCAAAAAGTTTGCCCACCCCTGAGTGAGTACCATTCCACCACCTGATGAAGCTTAAATATTTTATAGGTTAAAGTACCTAACACATTGAAGTTACTTCGTACGTGTTTGCTTCTTCCCCCATGTCCCTGAAATCCTATGCTTAGTATGGAGCATTACAGTATATTACGCATTACATCAGTCAGGATCCAACCAGGAAAACAGAATCTACCCAGAGCATTTGAGCCAAGGGGACTAACTGCAAAGAAGTGATTGTGTATGTGATGGAAAAGACCAAGAAGCAACCAATGGACAGTGAGGCAACCCCGAGGTTAGCAACAGCAAGAAACCAAGGCCAGAGGGAGGAGGTGATACAGGTGCCCAGATTTACAGAACCTTGCCAATAAAGAATTCCCCCCTTTGATTACTTAGAATAGAGACAGGATTATAGTTAGGCAAGTGAAGGGCCAAAAACGCAACATTTAAGAGTGCATACTCAGGGTGGTGCAAGGACACAGCCCTTAGAGTGAGCACCTCCTTAAATTCTGTCCTGTAGCTGCTTCTCTCTCACCCTGATCCCGGCCCTGGCTCTGACTATCTCTTTTATACGTAAAACTTCTTAAATTCCATTAAAATAATTCTTACTATTAGCAAGATGCCCTTTTATACAATTTATAGGCATTGACTCACATAGTCCTCTCAGCAATTTTATGGGGTAGATAATACCACTATTCTCATTTATAGTGAGAAAATTGAGGCACAGAGAAGTTCAATAATTTTCCCAGGGATCTTGCAGCTGGTACATGATTGCACTGGACTGTGAATTTCATTCTAGAAACCGTGTCCCTAGTCACTACTATTCTGTCTCTACCATATATTTTCCGCCATTATCTCAAATTCAATATATCTAAAGCAAAATTTCACATCTTTCCACATAAATGTATGCACATATCACATTTCCTATTTCTATCCACTATCTCAGAGAGATCTTGAATCTTTACCTAGTATTCACATCTCTTCAGCCAATTGCTTATTAATTCAATGATATTTGTTTGGTGCCCACTCATCAATGTACCAGAGTGGCAGCTGTGAACAGGACAGAATAGCATGTGCAGATTACAGACCCCATTGTGTGTCCACTTAGCCTCTCTAAAGAGGTGACATCTGGGTAGGAAGGCCTCTATGATGAGAAGTTGGTCATGAAAACATGGGGGAAGGTCATTCCAGGCAGAGTGAAAATCAAGCACAAAGTCTCTGAGGTGAGAATGAGTTTGTTGGGTTTGCAAAAGAAAAATAAAGTTTGTAGGTAGATAAAGTAAATTTGTATGTAGAAAGTGGCCAGATTGTGGAGGCCAGGACACAGGGTTTGGATTTTATTCTGGAAGTGACGGGAAGCTATCCTATGGTTCTCAGTAGGGCACCGTATGAAGAAGAAACTATGGCAAAGTGTAGACTGTGGTGGTACCCCTCACCCCTCACCCCTCATATTCCTTTTACATTGGGCTAAATTCCGCTGCAATGAGTCCCAGCCTCTAATACCTCACAGCTGCACCCTTCTCCTGAGAACTACCCTTGGTTGAAAGGAACCAGCCACCTAGCCAGGAACCGCCTGTGAGTGATGACCTCTTCCCTCCTCTCTAGAGGTGCAGCCCACAGCCAATGACAGACCGACTGGGGGACACAACAGCCAGTCTCCTTGCCTCAAGGAGGGGCAACTCCTGGTGGTGTGTTCCCCACTCTGTAGTGTGTTTCCCATTCCAAACCAGGGCTAGACCTCAGCTCAAAACAGGGTTTGGCCAAGCTTCTTCCTCTACTGTATGCTGCTTCCTCACTCACTTCTAGGTTTCACCTAAGGGTATTCCCGCACTAAGTCTTTTGCACAAAACTCCCCACCTCAGGCTCTGCTTCTAGGGAACCTGACCCTAGACAGAGTTAGTGAAGGGAAACCCAATTCTCAGCTATTTGTTCTTCATAGTACTATTAAAAGCATCATTCCTTTTCATTCCCAGGTGGCTCATTTCTTTCTCAGTCTTCTATCATATTTGATCTTCCTCCATTGCATCTGACATTCTACTAATGTACTCCAATTACAACTGAATGTTCCTAAACATCAATTTTGTCATTTTCTGAAGACAAAGATATTGGAGGTAGCTTTTGAAGCTTTCCACTAATCAATCAGTCAGCCTGTCTGTCTGTGTCTGTCAGGTAGTCAACAAATATTTATTTGAGTCTATCCTATGTGCCAGACCTTGTGCAAGGAATATGAAAGATACACAGTCCCTTTCCTTAAATTTGTGTCTAACAAAAGAGTTTGCCAACAATCTGACACTACCCAAAGTTTCTAATTTTATCTTACCCTTGTTTAAAGCCAATCTGTTCATTATCTCTTCATTATGCCAAGTTCATTTTAAACCCATCCTTCACCTATTCAAACTCAAGTCCTTCTCAAAATCCAGTTTAAGATCTTCCCTTATTATTCCAGCCCACAATGTCATCTCTCTGAATCCTTAGAGCATTTGCAGCCTGTACCACCCATGAATACATTCATTTACTCCATAATGTTTGAGAATCTCCCACATGCCCAGCACTGTGCTAGGTGCTGAGAAAGATCATAAAATACCTGGAATTTTATGTAAATGTTGTATAGGTATATATATATCCTATTTCTGCTTCAATACTTAAACTTTTAGAAGGTAGGAATCAAGCCTGTATTATTACTTTTCTTCAGGTATAAACAAGTTCGCTACACATAATATAGTTATTAGATGTTAACTCTTCCTGTGCATTTAAATGTTCCATTGATAGCAATTTAATTTTATTTCAGGTTTCATAATATACCAATTGTTGAAAATACTTTATTACTTGTGTATATTTACCTAGCATCTTTATTCCCTACCTCTCCCCAGTGTAAACTCAAATGTGTTTGATCTACTACTCTGATGCTCATGGATGACCACAATGGCATAGAATTACTTCAGGAAAAGAAGAAAACTTGCCAAGGAGAAATTCTTGGCAAACGAAGGTCTAGAAGGAAGAACGTAGACTAGAATAAATTCAAAGTTTATTAAAGATAAATTCTTATATATTCCTCAAGACTTTATTTGGAGGTCATCTCTCCTAGGAAGTTTATTTCCAGCTTGGCCACCCCCCTTTCTGTTCTTTGTGAAGATATCTAACACCGAACTTACCCCATTGTGTGTCCACTTAGCTAAAGTGCAATGCTTCCCTGATACATGGTGTAGGTGCTCAATGTATTAATAAATAATGCTACCTTTATTCCAATAAAACTTTGCTCAAAAACACAGA